AAAAATCGGAAGAATTGGATGAAGATAAAGAGGGAGCAGAAAATGAAGAAAAAAAGAGGGAGCAGAAAAAGAAGAAGAAAAAGAAGAAAAAAGGAGGAACGAAAAAGAGAAGAGTTGAAGGAAAAATTGGAAAAAAAGCAGAGCAGAGATCGAAAAAGAAGAAGCAAAAATTAAAAGGAAAACAAAGTAAAGTATTTAGAAGATAAAAAAGCCGTTACTTAAAACTTAGTTTAAAAACAAAGGTAAAAGCTTAAAAAGAAGTTTGTATAAGGTTTATACAAAATTTTAATTTAAATTTTACAAAATAAACTTACAATTTTTGAAAAAAATTTGGTCACATTCATTACTTCGAAGAAAAAATTAGGACCAATTCAAAGACAAACCAGAAAATTAATTGAAAATAAATAAATAAATAAAAAAAAGACATGTGAAAGGGAAAAGTGTACATAAAAAATAAGGGGCTGCTCCATAAGCCCCTGGTCCTTATACAAAACTGATCCGTTTGTTTTGAGTCTAAAAGGACCGAACATTATATTATTAAGATAGCTAATTGGGCTACTGACTACTAATCGACCATTTTTTTCTCGACCACCTACTAATTTTCCGACAGGTCGAGTTGGCCCAAAAAAATCTCCTATCCAGGTGCAGATAATATGCATTTCTATAAAATTCGGTTTCTTAAAAAAACTTGGCACTGTAATTGGATCGCATTTGGCAAAAAAGAACCAGCGCGATTACAGTGTTTTCAAAATCGTGCAATTTCTTCTTTTCTTTCAAAAATACTTATAATCCAAGCATAGTATTAACATTTGCACAATTGTTTTCCTTTGAAATTAACAAATTTTTGGTGGGAAGCAAAAACTATTTGCTATTCTAAGAGATTCTGTGAATAATTATGAAGGAGCAACATTTTTACAACACTGGAATCGCGCTGGTTTCTTTTTGCTAAATGCGATCCAATTTAACACTTTAAAAAATGTTTGAAAAACACCGTAATCGCGCTGGTTCCTCTTTGCTAAGTACGATCCAACTATGGTCATAATTGGACTAAGCTCTCTATCAATTGCTTGTTTAAGAGTAAAGGCATGGTCAGCCAGGAAAAACGCCATTGGTTAGCCGTAACGAAACCAGGGAAATGCGTAGCTCGATTTTGGGTTTTTTATAATTATTTTTTTTAAATCTTTCAAAAACAAAAACATGAATAAAAATCATTGCTTGAATTTCTCGCAGAAAATATGTTTAACGTAGAAATGACTTTCTGACAGTAAGTTTGTATCGTTGCAAGTCGAGGAACGTGTTTTTCTCGTTTCAGTATCGATGTATGCACCCTACATCCACATATCTAAAAAAACTCGTGAAGATAAACTCGTTCGAAACACATTTGCCTCATTTACTGGGAGATTCAGCCCTACAAAAATGAGTTTCACAAGCAAAGAGGATCGTAAAAGTTTTACATCTTTTTTTTTATAGGAATAGGACAAATGATAAACATGCTTGGCCAATAAGAGATACAAGATTAGTAAATAAAGTTAAATTGGAAAATAAGCTTAATTCAATATTTTGTTGGGTTGCCCTCGTTGTCAACTACCGATTGCAGACGGCGGGGCATGGAAGTGGCCAAAGCTCGGCAAAGTTGAGGCCGGTTTTGGATGCCGCCCCAAATTTCCTCGACGTGCTCACACAGCAGCTCGACTGTTGGCTCTCTCCGCTCGTCCCATTCCTTAGCCATCATACCCCAAACATTTTCTATGATGTTTAAATCGGGGGAGTATGCGGGCAACCCCTGAAGTTGGAACCTGGGGTGCTCCTGAAACCAATCCCTCACAATATTTTGAACTACGGCAACGTGGCAACAATAGATGAAATTGCCAAAATGGACCAATTTTGTAATTATCGCTTGAAAGCTGATGGTTTTCTCTAAATTTTGAGACCAATATCATCTCTCTACGACTAAGTGTTAGCGAGATATGCGAGTTTAATTTTTTTACTTTGACTCCCCTCCCCCTCCCTCCGTGATCGTCCGATTTCAAAAAGAGTCAGTGTTTTAGACTCGGGAGGTGATCCTCTATCAACTTTGAAAATGTTTCGAAGATCGGGCCAAGGTTGAAAATGGCCGATTTGGAATGAAGTCCTTTCTTCCTTGCTCTAGTCACAAGAAGTGAGGCAAGCGAGACTTGGAATCGATGCGCGATACGTCATTACGAATCTTTGTTTACATTCCAAAGAGCCAAAAACATGAATTCTCACGGTGAATGAGCGGAAATGTCTGTGTGTGTTTCATGTGCGTCTGTGTTAGTGACTACGCGCTCACAGAAGAACAAGTGCGTCTTCATGAGAGCGTTATCAGGCAACGCGCCGCGCCGCGCCGTCGCTAAATAGTCACCTGAGACTCTGCGTGAAACTAAATTCGTCGATAGTACACGCAGACACGGACTGTCCATAACGCTATTCCGTTCAATCTTGATTTTTTAGCCTTTTAATCTCGGAGGGATTTTGCAGTTTGTCCAGCATCGTCCAATGTGATATTTCCATTCCTCTTTTTTACTTTTTAATTAGTTTTTGTCCGGAATTTGTGCGAACGTAACTATTTTTCATTTAAAACCGAAGCTTAGTACCCGCAGCAACTCCGAGGAATTTTCTGCGACGAAAAAAGCATCAGCTCAGACAGACTCTCCTCGTATATAGTCGTGCTACGGAAGAACGTCGTATGATCATTCAAGAGTTGCCAAATTTCCTTCGATAATATGTTTATTTTTGAGGAAAGTTATGAGTATTTTTCCGTGAAATTTTCAGGGACTTTAGGTGAGATTGCGAACAAAATTATCCGATAAATTGGAAAGAAAATATTCATAAGTTTACCAAGAAATTTGTGTTTTATCATAGGAAATTCGGCAACGCCTGAAGGTTTATACGGCGTTTTTCCTTAGCACATTCTCCCAACGCTCCCGTTCAAAAAAGCTGCCAGGCTGTCGCGTGCTCTATAAATGCTCCTTGAATGCATAATCCAGCAACCAGCACCCGTCAAATGCATCAGGGGTGTAAAAACGCCCGATTATGGTTAAACGACTTGATGACGGTATTAAAAGCCAAGGTGGTGTGTTATTAAAGCTTCAAATGTTAATGAGCTGTTAACTTTGAAAAGCTGTTTCCATAAGGAAACGCCCTGAGACTATAATTATCATTTCCCGCACTGAGCAAATTTAGAATTACTGCTCCACTAGATTTTTGTGTAGTTTTTCTAAGTTACAGTTTAAACAATTTTATAAAGTCATGATACGTCTTTTGCCTCCCTCCCTTAATAATATACTCAAAGTTCGGAAATTTCGGATAGGGTTCATCATTCAATATAATTTAAAGAAATAATAAAAACTATAAATACAATTCACCAATATCTTCGTGGTCAGTCGGAAAAGCTCAAACTTTCACATATTATTGATAGTTAAATAATCACACAAACAAGCAATCTTGAAATTGTTTCATTTCAAATTGTAATAAATGGAGTGTCTGATAAAATGATTAAATTGTAAATTTAAGTATAACTTTTAAAACCTCTTTATTAAAATTGAATTAAAAAAATTACAATGGTTAAATTTATTTACAATTTTGAAAATTATTATTTTTGCTTAACTGAAATTCCATTGCAACGAAAATAGGTAACAACCAATAAACTATTAAAAAATATAAAATTTACTACGTGAACTTCCCGGCATAATATTGGAACGATCCAACTGACTTACGCTCCTGTGCAAAAAATCTATCAAATTAGAGGCATCCTGATATGCCGTTGATGATTTTTCAAGTGGTTTTTTTCATCTGAAATGTGTAACATGCGAATTTCACCTATCGCACTTCATCTGAGCGGAGCTCACTCTTTCAACCAGTCACAAATCGTCGCTCGCTGTTGACGAAAGGGCGTATCTCGATCTCTGCACGATCCCTAGAGAGCATTGGTTTATACGGAACACAGAGATCACATTGTGATTCAGATACGACCTTACGTTAGAGGAGCAACGAATTGCCGGTTAATGGTTATGTTTTCCCCGCGCTGTGTAGCGCTATACCCTCTTCCCTTTAGAGATTTTAAAATCCCCGCAGTGCAAATTTCTGACTCTTTGTCCCGTGTAGAACTAAAATCCGCTCGCCGCATGCCCTCCCTGATCCAGACCCCCCCCCCTTCGACCGGAGGAGAAAGAGGGGCTCCATGGCCCCCCTTTTCGTCCCCTCGCACGTCCTCCGCCCCTCCCGAATAATCCGGAATAATACTCGGGCTTAATATTCCGTCCGCTAATAACGGAGAATTAATTACGCCGGATCCGTTACGTTTTGTCTTATCTTCGCGGGTTAATTAAAACTGTAACTTTTGAAAGATCGACGCGTCGAGCGGGTTGCGGCGTCCGGGTTGAGCAGGCGCTGAGGTTGCCCGCCATGCGCATATCCCTGTCCCACTCTGTGTTTCTTGTAAGTCGATGGTGTGTTTTTTGCGGACATCATTCAAGATCTTGCTCAACATTTTTTTCACACGCATACTTTCGACTGAGACTGGCCTCAGCTCAACACACACGGATTTCTGCTATAATTCGGCTTTTATGCCCTCACACACTGGAAAAAAAAACACATTGGATCTAGAGTCCAGACTCTTGAAAACAGTGACAAGAAAAAGTACTCTTGAATCAATCGGATTTTTGCTTGAATCAAAACGATATCCGCTTAAATTAAGAGGCTTGGTTCTTGATTTGAGCTAGATTATGATTGAATCAAGAGTACTTTTTCTTGTCGATGTTTTTAAGAGTGTGGACTCTAGATCCGATGTGTTTTTTTTCCCCCCAGTGCAGTTTCATGACCCTATAGCTGCAAAATTGAATGACTCGGTGCAGTCTGTAACATCGAGATGAGGGTTGAGAAAAAATGGGTTGAAATTCCAAACGCGTTCATCGTGAAAAGTCATTTCCTTTCAATGAAGTAAATTTAAAATAACTCTTTTTCTTATTTTTCTTTTACAGGAGGTGATGATCCTAAAAACTCTGGTTCTGGGTGAAGAAGAACGCGGTCAAAGTCAATATCAAGTAATGTGTTTTCTTAGTCACATCAACAAAGACGAATTCATCTCGTCGGACGCTATGGCCAAGCTGAGACAGGTTAGTTCTTTTCTCCAAATTTTTTGTTGAATACTCACCGTGCATTTTGCCTTAATTTGTCATGTTTTAACGGACGAGAGAACATAAATTTCAGCTATAAAATCATGAAGGCACCCAAATTCGAACATTCTCGATAATCAATACTACAACGTGGTTCAATTTTGTGTGTTTTTCGGTATTATGCTCTCCTCAAACTTCCGTCTATTCTACATGCCCTCCCTCCCGGCATTGGCGGGTCCAGCATTTTGGCAACACCAGATTTCCTCCATTTAAACCTATAGAAATGTATCGATTCTTGGAGGGGCCAGGTACTCCGACAAGAATCGATTATTTAGCATAGGTTTAAATGGAGGAAATCTGGTGTTGCCAAATTGCTGGATCCGCCAATGCNTTCTCTGTTCTAAGTGCCAGAAAACTCACAAAATGTCTCGACTCTCCCGACGAAGATTTATTCGTATGCAATTTTCGGCCGTCCACCCGACAATTTATCATGATCCATTTTGGATAATCTTGACAGCATCTCTTTTTATTACTTTTTCGCCCCCGAACAACGTAGTTGTGAAACTCGTAAAATGCGTTTAGTAAAATTGGGCGAGAGATATGAACTGCTAGCAATGTAATCCATTCAAAAATGGAAATAACCAGGGGTGAGGAAAAGAAGGAGGACAGCTTTCCGCCAAGGGAGTTTCAAAAAGGACGACGAAGTCGTTGGTAGGCTCCAAGTTTATGAGAAACATTATCGACATTTATATATTTTCCTATTCATTCATTAAAAATGCCCCCTCCTTCTGAAACCATGACAGTAGCCGATGATTTATTTAGCATCATTCGAAAAGTGTATTCTCTTTCCTGAAGTTTGAATGCGCATAAAGAGAAACTGTTGTGTGTTCTTAAGTCTTTGGGTTGAGTGGTTTAAATGAAAAGTTTCCGTCTGACATGTCGTTGAGGGTAGAATTCCTGAAGTCAAAGAGTGTGTGTAAGGAACACGGGCTCAAAACTCACAAAACTCATGTCTAAACAAACTTGTAATAGAATTTCCGCTACGTTCAACTCCCTTGCACAGGTTGAAATAATGAAAAGCTTATGTTGATTATAGTACACCGCAACTTGAGCGCGCATGAAGCTATCATGAATATAAATGTAGGAGCTTCCAAGCATCGAAAGATGTTTCATAAAATATAAAATTTTATTTGTTTCTGCATAACATTCGGGCTTTTAGAATTTTTCCTTGACGAAGTTGATAGCCATATTGTGGTAATGTTATGTGGAGCAATATCTCGTATCTTAATTGGATCACATTTAGCAATAAGGAACCACTAGACCTGGCTCATTTTAGAAACAACTTACGTATATGCCGTTGGTTTCCCTATAAAGAAAGGTGATTCTATGGAAGAGCCAAAGATAGTGGTTCCTTATTGCAAAATGTAATCCGATTGCTCCTATATCCATAGTTCTCTAATTTTAATTGATTCAGTCACTGTTGGGGGAAAAAAATTCAAACCGCTTTTTTCCGGTCCTGGAAAACATGATTCTCCAAAACCCGAATTTTGCTACATTTTTTTGACGACCTATCCCGTTTCCAAACTTATGGAAGGTAAAGTGCCCATAGAATTCGAGTGAGTTGTTTTTGTTATCATCAAAAATACCAATTCAGCGAGAAACGTAGCCTCTTTATCCAACCATGTATGAGCAGTTCTGTTTAAATTGATTAAAGAGCCAAAGATTAGCTAATCTCGATCGAAACAAATAATCAAGCAATGATATCGCCGATACTCGCTCAAAGTGTAGACGATTTAAATTGGGATAGAGCAGAGCGCCTCGATTTATCGAAATATTATATGCGAGGAACCTCGGAAAGCGCCAGTGGCTGTCCCGGCCGTTAAATTTTGATTTATCGCGCAACGCGATACTTTTTTGTATCATTATGTCTGTGTTCAACTGATATACCGCTCCCAAACGCTCCTGCCCCCTCCACACCCCCCTGAACCCCCAGGGAGGGGATGCGACGCGCGGGGGACGGGGCTAAATTCGTGCACAATTGGTATCAATAAATCACCAGCGCGAGGTGTGTTTGACAAGGTATCGATTTCGGCTCGTTATCCAATGCAAATCCCCCTTGCGGGGGGACCAACGTCATCCGTTCGTTTTGACTTGCACACCTCTCCCCCTCGCCCTCTCCACCCGGCACGAGTGGTAGCGAAAGTTGTCTCATTATCCTCATCTTCGAGTGCCCCCCCCCCCCCCCCCNTCGATTCGGAAACGTCAAAAAACTCCGGGCGCACTGAAAGTTGAACGCTCGGAATCGATGGGCAGACGTAACGAACGAAAAACAACCCCTATTCCGTCTCTCGAATGTCGTAAGAGGTTGCGAGGGTTGAAAGGGACTTTCATTCGGGAAAATTAGGTTTACAAAGCGGATGCAATGGTTTTCGTATTTTGTCAATTTGTTTTTCTGTACGCAAATAAATAATATACATAAAAGTAAAATACGTCCGTTAGTTTTGTCAGACTACGTAATGAAGACTCGTTATCGTCAGTGATCTATACCTTTTCTCTTCGCCCACGCCACGTATCTACAACGAGGTTCAATAGGTTCGTAAGTTGGGTAGGAAAGGCGAGTGGCGTGGCGTGCTTTGCGATATATCGACTGATATGCCACTCAAACCCATGCATGAGAAAATATCGATTATCAGGGTGTTCGAAGCGAACACCTTAGTAATCGATTCTTTACCATAGCTTCAAATGACAAGATATCGATAATCGATTATTCACGCCGCGCCACTGAAAGGCGGACGGTCGCTCACGGTACTCACTTCAAAGAAATGATGTAACATATTGACGCAGAAACTGATATTTCCGACAATTTTTCTTAGAAAAACGTTTATTCTTTTTTTTCAATGCAAACCGTTGTCTGTTCTACATTTTATGAACCGTAAGTCGCGGCTAAAGAGACCCGTGCTTGCGCAATCACAAGTCCCGCTGCCTGTAAGATATTTTCGGACGCTATCTTGGTTTCCTCTCGGAAATACGCGCCGCAATTGGAGTTCGAAATACGCAACTTTGAATCCGTTTTTCTATGGATTAACACCAGTTTTTTTAAAACAAGCTCGGAAAAATTCCTGTGAACTAAAGGCACTCTTTCCTTTTTTATAATGAACTGCGAAAATTAAAAATTAGTGTTCGCGCTAATTTTTTTCAACAGTTTACAATTAAATCACCTTAACGTAGTTTTACAGCGCGCGCATGGAATGCTGTTAACCGATTACCAGTCGTCGAAACTCGAAAAATCTCAAGTAGAAGTCACGGAAGTATCCGTGGAATTTTTTTAGAAGGTGAGAAAATTTGAAAGACTGCTTCTCTCACTGAAGCATATTTTTTCGGTCCTTTAAAAGCCATACAGATCACTGGGAAAAAAAACACATTGGATCTAGAGTCCAGACTCTTAAAAAAATCGACAAGAAAAAATACTCTTGATTCAATCGGATGTTTGCTTAAATCAAGAACCCAGCCTCTTAATTTGAGCGGATTTCCTTTTGATTTAAGCAAAAATCTGATTGAATCAAAAGTATTTTTTCTTGCCAATGTTTTCAAGACTCAGGATTCTAGATCCAATGTGTTTTTTTTCCAGTGAAACTCGAAAAATCTCAAGTAGAAGCCATGGAAATATCCATGGAATTTTTTTAAAAGGTGAGAAAATTTGAAAGACTGTTTCTCTCACTGAAGCGTATTTTTTCGGTCCTTTGAAAGTCATATAGAGTAGTGGAGGACGAGCGAGGAGGCGGTTTCAAGCTTGAATAATTTTCCTCGGCGAGATGATGAAAAGCAGGGAAGAGGCTGAAAATTTGATCCCTCCGGGTGTCGCGGCATAGTGGCGCGACCCCTCGTTCCGCCGTTTGTTTTTATTCGATACAGTGCGGCATGAAAGCCGCGATAAAATCGCCTAAAAATACGGTTGCGGCTAACCCCGCACTAAGACGAAAACATAATAAACAGTGAAGCAGGCGCGTGGTATCGACCCCTCTGCCAAATGGAATTTTTCCCCTTCGGAAAATGCAGCAAAACGATCTTTGTATTAATACTTTGTAAATCGTGAATTTTTCGTGCATTTTCAACGTGAAATATTTCCGCCACAAAAACGGATTGTTTCATACTTTGGAGCCTGTATCATCGTTAAATTGGAGGTGTTAAAAAAAATACAGGTATGAAAGAGGGCTAAAGTAACCTTGGAGTAAAAATTGTCGTTTTCGAGCGGTGCCCTGGTGACTTTAACTATTTAGATGTCCATGCTTGTAAAATAAAATAAGTATTTTTACAAGAGGAAACTATAGATATTTTGGATACACATTCGGAAAATCAAAAATGAAAACATTGGGGATAAAAAAATCTGGGAGATCACAAAGTTCAAGAAAGCTCCATGCTCTGATCTGATCGCAGGGAGGAAGAATTAGAATACGATGATTGGAAGGGCGATAGAGAGAGGAGGAAGATAGGCATTAGGCAAGTCTTCAGATGGGGCAAAGGCGGAAAGACAAATCAGACTTGGAACCTTTTTTTAAAAAAATAAGATAACATAGGCTATTACAGTATTTTTTTAATCGCAACTTTCCATCTGAGTTAATGGAATTTTTGAAAGGAAATTTGTCCTTAGAATACTTAGTAGCCTCAATTCCTTGAAGTATTTCACAATAAGTTTGTACTCAAGGATCTTAAAACTTGTTTAATGATGTTTCAAAATTTTCCGACTCTTTGTGCCGGAAATTTTGTGCCACCTCGTCTTTAATTTTCGGAAAATCGATTTTAGAATCACGTAACGCAGCTCTGTACTCCCCTTCCCTTACGACGCAGGCTCAAACTCCCCTCTTACCCCAGAGCGTTACGTATTTTATGAACAGCCCCTCGCTCTTGTTCTAATACATCCCCTATCCGTCGGAATGACTTCTCGTGAATTAGTGTCCATTAGTACCCGTGTACGCGCGATATATCATTAAAGCGACGTGTAG